TAATAATTCCAATGTAATTTAACATTAAACACTATTACACACTATCAAGTCTTCCCCTTTTCTAAATTTCTCAACAACAAAAAAAAAAACAACATAAAATAACACTTAATTTTAACATTTATTCTCTCTTAATTCAACCATATGCAAAGCATGCTGGGAACTAAAAGCACTGCCCAGTTTCAGTTTCAGTTCACAAATCAATCATGTAATCCAACACAAACGGATTAAGTAAACTTAAGTTGTTCGTAGATTTAAACAGATTGAACACGATAAAATTAAGTTTGGGCAAAATGGCAGTCGGCTCGCACTATACTGCCACCCTTTGGATGTACACTTTTTTTTACTTAACATAAATGGTTTGTGTTTAGACAACACATTAGGATTTTGTACTGTCAAGTTGAGACAAAATTACATAGAACTTAATAGAAAAAAAACATGTAAAATCAAAAAACACAATTATTATAAGTAAACTGGTAACACTTTACAATATGGGTGCATTAATAAGCATTAATTCATGCTTAACTAATGCACAAATAATACTGAATTAATGTGTAACTAATGATTATTTAAGCTATTCATTAATGATTACCACATTAAGAACTAATTAAGAGTCTGTAGGTTTAATGTATTAGTTCATACATGAATTGTTATTAAGTAAATATGTAATTGTGGATTAATTCCATAATAACTCATTTTTTTAACTAATAGTGTTAATTAATATGGTAATTACTAGAATGAGCCAAAGCCTTGTATTTCAACTTCCAGATAATGACAGGTACACTAATATGCATTTATACATGATTAATTACTTTATTGTTACTGCAAATTCATGTGCAAATTACTACAATTACTAAATGACTAGTTAATAATGATGTGCCCCAACAAGTAAAGTCATAACATAATGATACCTTTGCAAATCATTAGCTAATGATTAATTAAAGCAGACAACTGGAAGTTGAAGTGCATGCGCTTTGACTAATTGTGGTAATTAACACATTAATTTACACTATTAGTTAATAAAATATGTTATTAAGGAATTAATACACAATGACACATTGAATTAATAGCAATTCATGTAATACTTAATCTATTAATCATATAGACTATTTATTAGTTGCTGATGCAGTAATCATTAATTAATGGTTTAGTTCTTCATTAGTTATACATTAACTCATGATTATCAGTGCATTAGTTAAGCATGAATTAATGTATATTAGCGCACCCGTATTGTAAAGTGTTACCCAGTAAACTATATATAAATATATTATGTAAAGTGCACAACCTCCCTAGTTCATTTTTTTTGAGTGTATATCAGAATATGTCTGAAAACAGTTAAAGATTCACCTCAGTATGCATCATCTATATGTTTGTATTGTCTACAGTGTGGTAAATGGCGCTAAACATATTCGCGGGAATTACACTGACATCACTCGCCTCAAAACACGTTCATCACGATATGAACACAATAACCACAATCGGATATGCCGCTGCGACATGAAAGTGTTAATATATCAAGATATAACAGCACAGTCTGTTATAACTGACGTCTTGGGACGTCTTTTGACCATACGTCAACATCCGCCTTTTTAGGGTAGCCTTAAACGTCGGTTAGATGACGTTATCGGATCCTAACCCTACCCCAGACCTAAACCTACCCCGTCACCTAACCGACGTTAAAGGTAAAGCATCAGTTGTATGACGGCCCGGGATCGGGACCAATGCTACAAAATTAAACTTGTTTTGAAATCTACATCATTTGAAATTCCTCTAGCGATAAGGAAAACCTAAAGTTGCTCTCAAAGTTATATTCATTCAAAATACATACCATGGTTTCGATTTATTTCAACCCAAATCTAAAAGGTGAAACTTTTTATGAATGTCCTCACCAATTTGCTTTTGCTTCTACTTGATTTGTTTATTGTCATTAATATGTAGAGAATATAATGTAGTCATTACTCTTAAAAAAATCTCTATGGCAATATGGTTTAAGATGTGCCATTTAAATTCTTAATATTCTGAAGAAATGGTAATAAAACTTGTTAGATATTTAGAACACGGATAGAAAACACAGTTTTTGTTTTATTTCTTTATGCAAAGAGACCCCATCCCGCACATCATCAAGCCTGCATGCACTGGCAAGGACATTATGAGTTGCCCAAGGCTACAAAGTAAATAATTATTCATGGTTACAATTTTGATTGTAATGCATTATATGTGGTGGGATGGTTGCATTTCCTATTAAATGGGAAATTAGTGTGCGTAACCAAAGTAGGATTACACCGTCTGAGAGCAGAGTTGTTGCACCATTAGGTGCTCTAATGAGGCCAATAGTTTGAACAGAAAATAAAGTGTCTTTACCATGTACTTACGTCATAGTAATACTATTTCCAGGCCTTCTTAAACCCTGATTATGTCGAATTTGTATGCACAGGAGAAGTTCTCACAAAAATTTCTGCCTAATAGAAAACGTGTGTCGCGGACTCACCAGGCTCCTCCGTCTCACACATCCAACGTTCACTCTCACCTGAATACTGATCACCTTCGTATAGGACCTGTGTAAAAGCACACACCTCACATCCAATATGGATTACGGACTACATACCCTCTTTACTTACCTGTGAAGTTCCCTTGTGAAACTCCAGCCATCTCCTTATGAATCTCTGTGTGATACTACACTGATCCCCTGTACGCTATTGTTCGGGAAATTATATTTACCCGTCTCCTCACCATATTCCGCAAAGAGGCGTGTGTTGTGTCCTCTTTAAAATGAAATGTGATGATATACGTAAAGATTTTTTGGTTAAGTAAATACTAGTGAAAAAACCCAATGTAATTTACTTGAAAAAGTTAGTTCAGCAAGAATTTAAAAAACTAAGTAAATTCCATATCAGTACTTATTTCAAGCGAGTATAAATGAAAGTGTAATATCAACTCAGTAAAATTAAGTAAAAATTACTCAACTTTTCTGATACTGGGGTTCCCATCATGCACTGGACCTTGAATAATTAATGAGGTTCATTTTTCGCTGGTTTCCAGCTGTATTTAAACTGTTTTATCATTGATTTTTGTTTTCAGTATTAGTAAATTGCCATTTTGTGACATTTCGAGTAAATTTTTTTGCTTAAAACGACACATTCAAACACAATAAACGATCCATCAAATGTTACCACCATTGTGTATTGTCTACCAAGTATTGAGGTGTTTGCATTCACATAAGGCTTGAAGTCTGACATGATGTATATATAAATCACTTAGATGATCTAAGTAAAGAACATATTTGACTAATAAAATTCAAGATAATTGTTTTAGTGAAGTGTAATACAAAGGCAAAGGAAATCAGTATTAATCAACCTTTTACAAGCCGAGTTAAAAGTACTTATTTTTTGTAAAGTTTACTTAATTCCACATTCCAAGTAAATTTAACTTAAAGATTTCTAATTAAAGCTACTGATAAATATGTTTTGGTTTTTACTTGGCAAATCTTTGTAAATTTACTAGCATTTTCTGAGTGAGATCGTTTAGCAAGGTTTTTTCAAGTAAATCCTACTCCAAATTTTTTACAGTGTAGGCACCCAGATGTGATTTTTGCACACAGCATGTGTAGTTTGTTGTTCCTTCCTCTTTCCCCCCCCCTTCTAAACACATTTTTGTATTAAAATTGTTTGTTAGCAGATTTTGCACCCAAGTTCATGAATGAGCCCCACTTTTTTTGTGAGGTCAGAGAGAGTAATGTATTGCATAATTTTAAACATTGTTCTTTAAAACTATTTAATTTGATTTAGCATTGACATTTTTAGTCTTTCATTGTCATTGAGAGTTTTACAATTTGAAGCAACATGAGTAATTGAAGAAGGGTAATGCAACCAAGGTAGAGAGGCTGGTTTGAGCAGGAACACATAGTACCCATCAAACAGGACAGTGATTTGGCAACCTCCATCAATGCAATCACTGTCAGTGAAAATGTGAACCCCAGTTTTGGAAAACGAACATTGTGTGTCCTACGATTGTTACAGAGAGTGCGCATAATCACTTTGCAGAATTTAATGTGCAAATTTTGAAAAAGCAGCTTGGATGCCTAGTTATTTGTTTTCACACTATATCAGTTTATGCTTTTTAATGCAACAGTGCTGGAGTCCAAAACTCTTTTCAATCTCGTTTATAGTAAGTAAGCTGTAATGTAATACAGAGTTTAAAAATGCAACAGCAAGACATCTATCTCGATTCTTTAATGCTACCTCAGGTTGCCAGGGCAACAGGTTTGCAGAGAGCAGGACAGTTGTAAGAGTGCTAGCAAATCCCATTTTTATTTGTTTTTCCATGGAATTCAGAGAAATAAGCTCTGTTCTGTGACATATCCCAATGTCTACAAAATGATTATAACTCATAAAATTCACTTGAAATGAATGAGACCATTGGCAAAGCATAGAGTTATAAAATAAGCGTGTCATAGCTCAGATAATTCGGTTTAGAAAGAATTGAGGAGACATTTGATTTCATATTTGACATCTGATTTCAGAGCGTGGTATTTTGCAAATCTGAGCACATTGTTGAGATCTCATTTGAAGCTTTAGAGCAGACACATGTCAGATTACTGGGGTTATTTCTATATTAGGATTAGATGGCATTTACTATCTATTTAATATCACTGCTGTCTAGCAGACAGTTTTGATATTAAAAAGTTCACTTTAGTCATTTCCTACTGTATATGGTTTCTTAAAGAACTTTGCATTTGAAGAGTTCAGATGCAAAAGCCTCTAAATGCCATTTGAAATTTTCTTCTTTAATGACGATTTTTATCAAACTTGTATATTTAAGTTCAGTAATTTCACTTAAATGGCAATGATAATTACCTATTAATTGTTATTTAAGTGAAATTACTGAAATATACAAGTTTGATAAAAATCGTCATTAAAGAAGAAAATTTCAAATGGCAGTTAGAGGCTTTTGCATCTGAACTCTTCATTTACTCTATATTTTATTTCTCTCACCTTTTGTCTTAGTTGCTTTCTCTGGCCTGGGCTTTACCTCATTTTACTTGGCGGGGAAGTTGCAGTGCTTCACAGATGCTGGACGCGGGCGCAGCTGGCGTCTCTGTGCCATGGTCCTGCCCCTCTACAGTGCCATGATGATCGCGCTGTCCCGCACCTGCGATTACAAGCATCACTGGCAAGGTCAGAGGTTTGCAGCAGTGTCCTACAAAAGCACACAACTGCTTAGAGCATCTTCATTTACATTTCAAAAATGGTTTGTTTAGCAGGACCATTCATTGAAAAATATTAATTAGATCATATAGATTACTGAAAAATGTCACTAAATAAATGTACTTTTAAAACATTGTTTCTCAAGTGTAATAACATGTGTAATCTTGGTAACACTATTTCGATGATCCACTTTAGATATTTAACTATGTCAACTAACTCTTATTAGAGTCTGTAGCTTGTCTACTTAATACCTGCTAACACTTTATTTTGATGCTCCTCAACCAACATTATACTGACTATAAGTAACTTTGAAACATGTCATCTTATTCTACACTCTTAGAAGAAAAGGTTCTATATAGAACCTTAAAAGGTTCTATCAGCGCTACGTATTTGGAACCCCTAAAAGGTTCTAAACACTCTTAAAAAAGGGTTCCTCTGGGTTCTATATAGAACCCTGGGGTTCCATACTTGGCCAATAGAACCTTTTACCAAAACAAAATGGTTCTATATGGAACCATTTTGGAGTTCCAAATATGAAGCGGGGGATGGAACCATTTCTGGTTCTAAATAGAACCATTTCTTCTAAGAGTGTACAAACCCGAACCCTAACACCCATTAATCTAACAGTCTACTAATACTCTGAGACTTAGTTATATAATATATATTCGATATAAAAATGTTTATTCTGTCTAGCACATCTTTACTCGATCTACCATAGTTATTTAATTAAACATGATAATTAAAAATACATGTCAGGCTAATTCACTTTTTCCAGGGATTAATACAGATCGAACTGTCTTCAAGTCTTGTAGAACATAACACCGAGTATGCATGGTTTAGTGGAGTTACTTCTTGGAGATAGAGATAAAGCATCAGCAATTGTTTGTAAGCTTTGACATCAGTTTTACTGCGCACTGGCCTGCTTCTAGATGTTTTACCCATACAGTTATTAATCATGTCTGTGTATCATCCAGAATCACGCTGGCGCACAGCCATACTGTCACCATCAATAACAGCCTCAGACATGATGTGAAGTCACATGATGCATCCAATGAATAGTCTGAGTCAACAAAGAAAGCATAATATGATGGAAAGGGACGTATAACAGATATAGCCAGAGGAAAATAACACAACATGGCCCATTGGTTTTCAAAATTACTATAACAGCAGGCCTGAGCACCAAAGCGATCTGACAAAAGACAAGAGCAAACACACCATGTTTAAAGGCAGTACTGCCGAGCTTCAGGTGCGCTGAGCTGATTAGTTCATCGATAAGGGAGTGATCTAATACGGGGGTTTTACCCAACTTCTCTCCTCCAAACCATTAGACTTTCCTTTGTTTAGTGGCCGAAGAGAGGATCCAGCGAGAGCTTGATGGGGCAACGAGGAACGAAAGGTGTCGCTATGACGACCGGGTACTATTTGTTTTGTGGCGGTACTGTCTGCAATGGAAAACAGAGCGAAAAAAGAGCCGAGGCGAGTCAAGTCGAGCTGGTACTGGTAATGGAAAAGTGCCATTAGTGACAGTGAATGGGCCAATAAATTTGGGAGCAAGTTTATAATGAGCAGAGAGAACTACTCTTGGAAGAAAACGGGACTTTGACCTTGGGAGATATCATTAGGAAGCATGGCATTCGTTTTCACTGCTATGTTGATTATAATCAGCTCTACGTATATTTCTTCGCCCCCAACGAAACGCATCAATTCACAAAATTAACGGAATCCATAGCTGACTGGTAATTTCCTACTAAACTCAGGAAAACAGAGATTCTAATTATTGGCCAAAAAACTTGAACTCACTTAAAGGATAATTCCGGTATTTAACACCTTGAGTCTATTTTGTAGTTTGTTTTGAATGAAATAGTGGAGGTGGACTTAGAAATTTTGACAATGGGTCCTGTCTCGACATTTTGACTTTTTTAGAATCGCCTGTGACAGCGTTAGACTGGGTGTCTATGGACATGCACAAACATGTCCATAAAAAAACCCTTAACGTTCATTTTCAAAACTGTGCAACTCACCGAGTGGTTGGTGGTGTTCGTTGATGATTAAAAACAAATATATCGGCGCTATGTATGCTTTCAATCCGTGTTGTTTGCTATTGTGGAACTATTTATTCAGATACCTCACAACCGCGTATAAACTTCCCCTCGATATTTGAGTCTGAAGCGTTAGCACACTCCCGACCACTTGATGGCGACAACCAGGACGCTGTGCGGAGCACGTGTCTAGCGCACCGTAAAAAAAGTCCGGGAGCACAGTTCCTCTGGTCACGCTAGCCTTCTGAGAGACGGAGAACCGGAGAACCGAGCGAAAAGACTACAACCAAATGTAAACAGACCCCTTTCCGTTTTCCTACCTAGCGCAGTAATATCAACGAGCACTGAGTCCTCCAGCAGACATCAATGCGATTTTAAAAAATGACAAATAAAACACGACAGAAACGGTATTTCGCTACGCTACTTGTTTCAGAACATCAACGAACACCACCAACCACTCGGTGAGTTGCACAGTTTTGAAAATGAACGTTAAGGGTTGTTTTATGGACATGTTTGTGCATGCCCATAGACACCCAGTCTAACGCTGTCACAGGCGATTATAAAAAAAGTCAAAAAGTCGAGACAGGACCCAATATCCACCACTATTTCATTCAAAACAAACTACAAAATAGACTCAAGGTGTTAAATACCAGAATTATCCTTTAATAACCGAGAATACTGTCTAACACTTGATGGCTGCTCTGTCAAGCCTTCGTCGTCGGTTAGGAGCCTGGGTGTGCTCTTTGATACCAATCTTTCATTTGACAGTCACGTTTCTAGCTTCTGTAGAACCACATTTTTCCATCTTAAAAATATGTCTAAATTACGCCATATGCTCTCATTGACAAATGCGGAACGATTATTTTATGCGTTCATGACCTCAAGGCTAGATTATTGTAATGTTCTACTGGGTGGTTCCCCTGCATGCTTAATAAACAAACTACAGCTTGTCCAAAACTACAGCTGGTTCATTAAATAAACTTATTAATTTGATGGCGGATCCAGAAAGGTTGAAACGACAATCATCACCAGTGACAACTGGAAATTCAAAAGTGGATGTTACTTACTTGTTCAGATGACATTTTAGGGTGAAAAGTCTTATGTTGGCCATTCGATTGATTGCGATTGCGAATGCCAGTATCCACACCGGCGGCGACTGACAGACACACACTCTCCTCAAACATCCGTGCCGGGGCACAACCCACGTAAAGTTGATAATTCCGCGAATGACTGCAATTGCAGATTTCGAACAGAGATGGCGACAAAGAGGAAAAACTACGGACTGCAGCTTTAACAGATCATTCGTTAGTAATATATATTCACATATTTACACATAGAAATAGGAGATAATTTGCTTATTAATGTTAACTAATGAACTTATTTAATATTACATAATGATTTAATGTAAATAAAATGCTAACAAATCTCATTAAACGTTGATTCATTTATTACCTAATGCACTTTTGTACCTAATGTTGTGAAAAAATAGTTTAATTAGTCATTTTGAGTGCATTAAACAGCAAGTTTTAATATACATTAAACAGTGATCCGTCAATCAATAAATCTGTAATGTTTAATAAACACATTAGTAAACATTAAAAAGCATATGAATGTATATTAACTAAGGGTCTGTAAAGCAATGTATCATTTTCAATATTTTCAATTATTAATGAAAGTTATTATAAAGTGTTACCTTTATTTTATTTATTTATTTTTATAGATTTCCTCGTCACCTCATATAGACTCCTCCTATCAGTGAAACAACTGCAAGCGGATACTTATTAGTGTGACTTTATATGGACTATCCCCTAGGGCCTGCTGGGTAGTAGAACAGAACTAATCTAAACAATAGTGGCATGGACCATTAAACTTGATGGGTCCAATCTGGTCCAAGTAAATACAAGCTGTGGCTCAGAAAAGCTTGCCTTGTAGCACAGTGATTTAAAGGAATAGTTCACCTCAAAATGTCTTCATTTCAGTCTTCATTTACTCAACCTCAATTTGTTTTAAACCTGTATGAATTTCATTCTTTTGCTGAACGCAGTTGATGGACCCTGTTGACTTCCATAGTAGGACAAAAGGACAAAAGCCAAGGCTTTTGGCTTGCTTAGTTGGGGACATTTAATATTCAACTTCTAGAAAACAAATTTTGTTGTATTATTTTCATGTTATCAGCTGCCTTGATACAATCTGAATTGTAAAAAGCACACTCTAAAAACATGCTGGGTTGTTTCAACCCAACTTTAGGTCAAATGTGGACAAACCCAGCCGTTGGGTTATTTTTTTTAAATTAAAATTTTAACCCAACACTCGGGTTTGTCCATATTCGACCTAAAATTGGGTTAAAACAACCCAGCATTTTTTAGAGTGCACTATATAAATGAAGATGACTTGACTATGGAAGTCAATGGGAAAATTGGTTGTAGCTGGAATGTGCTACGATTGGTCAGCTCAATGTGGCCGTTATCTGATTGGCTTGAGGAAACAGTGGGTGGAGTCCGCTTACAGTATTTGTGGATTTGTCTGCACGTCGATGCTAGAAGTGTTTCAAAATCCACAAATGCGTGAGGTGTGCAGTGTTGGGTGTAACTAATTACTAAGTAATTAGTAATTAGTTACTAATTACTTAGGCCGTGTGTCCACCAAAGCGTTTCTATCCAACTGAAAACGCTAGACGCTCTGCTGAAGACGCTGTGCTTTGGGCGCTTGAGAGCGCTTTGGCAGCGCAGCGTTTTGAGACGTTTGTTGAGACGTTTCGTTGCTATGATACGGAATATATGCAGCAGTTTGAATGTTGTGACGGTTGGTGTGGTTTGGTCCCGCCCCTCCTCCACTGTGATTGGACGGCTGGGTAAAATGTGACACTGAACATTTTTCAACTCCCAGCGACCAGTAAAAACGCTGGGCGCTCGGCGCTTCAGCGTGAAAAAGAACGCTCTGCGCCTCGGTACGCTCACGCCGTTTAAAAAACGCGGCGCTCCCATTGAAAACAATTGAAAACATACGCCAGGCGCCTTAGTAATTAGTAATTACCATAGCTGTCAACCCTCCCGTTTTTTCCAGGTTTCTCACGTATTTTGACTCTTTTCCCGCTGTCTTCCCGTTTTAGTATTTTCCCGTAAAATATCCCGTATTTTTATGCTCTGATTGTATGAGACGTAGCTACAAGCTCTGACAGATTCGGCTTGAAGTCGTATATCCTCGGATGCGACGCCGCGCGCGCCGGCCGGAGACACACTAGCTGCGTGCGTCTCAGCTGCGTGGCGTGTCCGTTTTTATTTTACTGTCTATGGTTTTTATTTTGGCTCCCATGTTAACAGATTAGAGCGTTCCCCGTTGCCTGCGTGACATGCGCTTCTCAGGCGCAGCATGAGCCGCGTGGAAATCGCGTGCATGCTAGAAATAGAACCGACGCCTATTTTTTTACGTAAGCGTGTTGGAAGCGTTTCCAGGCAAAAAAAAAAGAGAAAAAAAGAAAACGATTTTTATGTGTGAAATATTTCCATTATTTTTGCCTATATATAATTTCATGTATTTTTTTTAAACAATCGAGTCCTGGTGTCCACTACAGAGGTCATAGAATAACATAGAAATAAAATATCTTTTTTTTTTTTTTTACCCATTTGTTTCTTATGCTCTTAATAGTGTGATTACATGAAGAAGAAAAAAAACTTTTGAAAAAAAGTTCTGGGCCTCAAGAGGATATAAAGATAGGATAGGTGTCACAGTCTTCGTCTGCACCATCCTGTCTGCGTCTCCAGCACTACACTTCCCAGGATCCTCTTGTCTCCACACCTGAACTCACTCCCTCATCAGCCTCCCGTTCAGCGTCCTGTATTCATCTGTTTCACCTGTTTTCACCTCGTTTAGTTTGATTCCTGTGTGTATTTAGTTCCTTCCCATTCAGTCTGTCCTGGTCGGTCGATGTTCCATGTTACGCTGTATACCCCGTCTTCCTGCCTGTTTGTGAATAAAATGTCTCTTTATCGAGATTTGGACTCTGCCTGTCCTTCTGCCTGAACCCGCACCGTGACAATAGGCTAAAATAACATACTAACTAACTAATTAGTTACTAACTAATTAGTTACTGTAATTTAATTACTTTTCCCTTGAAAATGTAAAGTAAGGGATTACTCTTCATTTATCTGTAATTTAATTACAGTTACTTCTGATGTAATTGAGGTAAATACTGTGTATAGATCAATCCGATCTCACAGCGATTCGTATGCATTTTATGAGGTGTCTAAATCGTACGACCGCACTCGTACAAATTCGTATGAATTATTGTAAAATATGTATGAAAAAAGTATGAAATGTCATGAGATCAGACATAAAACAATAATGGGTTTAACATCAAAATGTATTGTCTGATGCTAAAAAGTATGTTTTTATAATATAACCTTAAGGATAATTCATGCAATTTTATAGTATTTATTTGAAAGAATTAAAACAGATTCATGTCTATCCTTGTATTATTCAGCTGGTTGAGATTGATATGGGATTTTGAAAGTAATTAAAAGTAATTAAATACTTTCTAGAGAAAGTAATTAGTACAGTAATCTAATTACACTGTTGAAGAGGTAAATAGTAAATAGTAATTAATTACTTTTTTAGAGTAACTTGTGATATAAAACTCATTTGTAAAAAAACTCATTTTGTTTATTTGTGATTTATTTATTTTTTCAACTGTTCGGTTACCGACATTCTTCAAAATATCTTCTGTTGTGTTCAGCAGAAGAAAGAAACTCATACAGGTTTGAATCAAATTGAAGGTGAGTAAAGGGCCAATTGTTCAGTCCATCCTCAAAATGATGTTTCAATCATTTGAAACTCAACTCACTCAACGTTTTGGGAATTAAATAGCTGTGTGGTGTTTACTTATGCTGGTGAAACAGTCAGTGCGCACTGCAGCTCTTTTTAATGGTGGTGCTTAACTGATCCTCTCAGGGTGACATTAAACGGCACAAACCATTTAGTGAATTGTGTTTGCTGCAGAATCTTAGATCAGTAGCTACCCAGGCATTCGGTAACACTTTACTTGAAGGGGTGTGCATAAGACTAACATGACACCTTCATAATCATGACATTATGAATATGAAGGAAGTTTTATGCAGGTTTCTGACAACTTTCTCAATTATGACATTTTTAATGCAAATATGACATTGTTTAAGATGTCTTGTTTATGACAGCTTGACATAAACCAATACATCATAACCTGTCAGTGTCGTTGTCAAGACAACTTGACATTACTAAGACAACACAACCTGTCATAAACATGACATAGCAGATTAATGATCAAACTTAAGAAACCATTTTGTGGGTTAACATTACATTAAACTGTCATGTGGTTGGTTTTGACATTGACTGTCATGAAGCCATTACAACTTTTTAATGACAAAGTCAATTAGTACCACAGTAGTCGAGGTCACGAAAAATACTCATGACACAGTTATAATGCCTCATGACAGCCAATGTCAAATGTTTAATTTTATGTCAAGATGTCATAACAAAGACATCTCAAACGATGTCATATTTGCATTCAAAATGTCATTATTGAGCGAATGACACTTAATGACAGTTGTCATAAACATGTCATGGTTATGAAGGTGTCATGTCAGTCTTATGCACACCCCTTCAAGTAAAGCGTTACCATGACGACAATAAAAGAATTGACAGGCAGACTAAGGATGGATGAGATTTATTGTATCTGTGTCTTACTTTGTGAACCTTGAATTGCCCCTCACAGATGCATTTGTTGGGGGAGTGATCGGCCTCTTCTTTGCCTACGTCTGTTATCGGCAGCACTACCCACCCTTCCTCCACACAGACTGCCACCTGCCATACGCTAGTCTGGCTGTAGCGACCGCCCACAACGTCCCAACCTCCCAGGATCAACCTCTGGCCACTGATAATGCCACCAGCCTGCCTCTGGAGGGCATGACCGAGGGACCAGTATGACTAATAGAGACTCAATCCTCTGACCCCCCACCACACCGACGTGGTATGAACCACACTTGACTGACACTTGCACATTCCAATGAATCGGACCATCCCATTTCATGTAGTTTCTTTTCTTCTTCTTCTTCCTCCAAGCATCCAATCTGCTCTCAGATGTGTTACACTTTATTTAATTACTGACTATAAGTGTTGGCAAGTTGGAACCTGGTGCAAGAATCTCTCCCTACCATGGCAAGTAATAAAGGGTACCATGGTAGATAAAAATGGTGCCATTAAACAGTATGCTGAGGTATCTCTTGAATAACCATCTGAGACTTTTTTTGTAAGGGCTGCCTGTGATACAAATGGCAAATTGGTTCTCTGAGAGATTCTTATCTTAAAGGTTTCATTCATAATAACGATTCATTATTTGCAGTGGTTATGTGTTTATTCAGTAGCAGGCTTGCATGGATGTTAACGGCTCGTGTGAAATTGTGTTCTGTAGCTTTGCCATGTACCATGTGCTAGAAACAGAGGAGTTAGATGGAAGAACAGATGCACTAGCAAAAATACCAAGGCATTACATTATTATTATTGTTTTTTACATATACATGTAGGACTATTATCAAACCATAGGTTTTGGTCACTGAATGTTTTAGAGGTAAATATCATGGTGTGAGAATTTGGTAATCATGCAGTTCCCAGCCATCTTATTCCCATTTAATATCATCATTGTGCTATGGTATTGCCACAGCCATTTTTTTTGTAAGATTGAAGGACAAGCTATAGGATGAGAACGTTACCTACAACATCCAGCAGATAGTAAAGTCAGAAGCATGAAGGGAACATGATAAAAGATCTACAGTATCTAATGTCTGTATTATAGGCTATACCAGCCCGTTCTTATCCCAAGGCGTCATATGGCGCTTTTCCACTGCATAGTACAGTACGGTTCGCTTCAGGTCGCTTTAAATGGTACCTGCTCTGTTGAGGTTCCAAGCGTACCGTACCGGTACTAAAATGTGACGTGAAACACTGCAGATCACTGATTGGTCAGACAGAATCGTCACTACTAGCGTCATTGGATTTGTGACACGAGACGCGAGACACTTTTTTAGCAGTATTTTTGTTTTGCTGCCATCAGCCTCATTTTAAACACATTTTTCCGTCTAGCAGTTAAAAACAACCACATACCGAGAATCAGGAACACCATCCCCTCGATAGTCTCCATTGTTTCTGTGTTGTGGGTTTGAAAATGTGGCGCTTTTAAGATGATGTCATGGCAGTAGAGGCGCGCGCAAATAACGATCAGTCCCACACACTTTGAAGGGGTACTACTGCAGTGGAAACGCAAAGCGAGCCAAACTGTTCCGCGCCGAGTCGAAGCGTACTGGGCCGAACCGTACCGTACTATGCAGTGGAAAAGCGCCTATATACTGATGCTTTTGCCAATGCGTATAGACCTTATGTAGCCCCGCCCCTTTTCAGCGTTGCGCTCGTTGTCTTTTGACTTCCGGTCTGTATTTTCACAGCGATCTTGCATAGGTATGAATGAACTGCTCGTTGAAAAATTTCCCGGTCGACATTTGTTAAGACATCTGCTTTACAATGCTTATGATAAACATTACAATGCTCATGATAACTTTTGTTAACTCTACAAAAAGTAAATCCACTTCACCGGCTAATTACTCCTCAACAGCGATGCCATTGAAATATACAGAGCGACTTCAAAAGATGAAGGCGCCCACGTTTCTCTGGTGCTATACATCCAACGCACATGGCACCCTTTAGCGTCAATATGAGACGCAGATATATATGGGCCAGAAGGCGCCTCCTAGTGGTCTAACCCTAACCCTACCCCAGACCTAAACCGAGGTGTGTTATATTGACGCTAAACAACATGACATCATGACTTTTGCGTAAACATATACGCCACTTTCGAGTCAGGTGGCGTGTTATCTCCACGCATTTTGTGCTATCCGCGTGTGTCCGCGTGTATGCGTATATGTCTACGCCATTAACGTCCGCGTCATTCCGCGTGTCCGAACACGCAGTCAAATCTCCAGTCATAAATGCCATTAACCCCAGTGACGGTTAGGTTTAGGGACGGGGTTGAGGTAAGTCATATATTTATATAACGTTAAGTCAACGTTGTTCATAAACACGCTGAAAGGCGATTATGCGTCTTGATAGCAGGCCAAAAATGGAAATACGAATTGGCATGTCATACACACGCTACTTCATGAGATCAGTCTGCGCTAAAGGGTGCCATGTGTGTTAGATGTAGGGGTTTCACAACTGATTTTTGCTATTCGACTAGTTTTGCATAACAGTCGACGACTAGTCGACTAGTCGTTAAATGGTTTATTCTAGGGGTGTGCGAAATCACGAATAGTAAATGTCCCCACGATCTGCTTTTGAAGAATGCTAGCCTTGCTCTATTCTGTGTGGCACGTTTGTAACGTCACGTAATACGTAATTGCGCTCAAAAGGTTGATTTTGATTCTGTACTTCCGGCTGCGTCGCCCGTCACCTTGTAAGCGTAATTACGTATTACGTGACGTTACAAACGCGCCTCACAGAATAGAGCAAGGCTAGCATTTGTCCTTAGAAAAGTTTCATTTTTGGAATAAGTTTTGAAATAACCGATCGTTTCGCTTGATAAGACCCTTATTCATCGTCTGGTGTCGTTTAAAGACATTTGAAGCTGCATCTGAAAGTGTCTTTTGGACCTTGAACCGTTTGGAGTCCATTATATGGAGAAAAATCCTGGAATGTTTTCATCAAAAACCTTCATTTCTTTTCGACTGAAGAAAGAAAGACGTGGACATCTTGGATGACATGGGGGTGAGTAAATTATCAGCAAAAGTTTTTTTCAAACGTGAACTACTCCTTAAAGACCCATTCTTACAGATCATTAACTAAAAAAAGTTGGTTAAGTGTTTAGTTACTCTTTAACGATAAAGGGTACCGTAGGACAGCACCGTTTTGTCATATAGTGTTCTATGTGACGCTAAAAGATGAGAACGGGCTGATATAACACACCCATAATGCATCTTTACTGACTTCACAAACATAGTCTCTGCTAAGTCTCTGGTATTTTTATTCGCATCATGTTGTAAAACTGTCCATGGAAAACTGCTGATACATATCGACCTGCTACACTTGAGCTTCCAGAGACCATCGGCCAATGACATTGACAGTCTCCGCCACAGACACTCCCTCTCCCTGCATTTCTTCTTTTACTTACTTTGTGACATTTTATTTGTCCTCCTCTGTAGCTTAAAGGTTCATTCATTCTGTGTCCTTCAACCTACGCTGTTTCAAAACGCCTCCTTTTTATCTTTATAACCACAGACACTTTTAACTGGCATTCAACTAATAGAGTTTTTGAACACATTGCCATGTTAATACCAAGTACCTTGTAAATACTATGGTAAAAGCATGGTATTAGCACCTGATCATGCGTCATGGTTCTGCCACTATACTTTCTCCTCGTATTGTTTTCTCAATCCAATCAAACTATTCCACTGTTTGATCTTTACCTGTTTCATTGTCTGTTCCTTTTTAGTTTGTTTGTTTTATTATATTCATCCGTCCATTCTCCAAACTGTTTATCCTCTGTAGGGATGCTGGAGTCTATCCCATGCACCACAGGCAGGGAAACACCATGGACAGATGGCCAGTTCATCACAGGGCACACACACACACACTTTGGGTTGTTGTGGGGGAAAGAAGAGCACCCGAATATAACCCACACAGACCCAGGTAGAACATTATCTCCCTTTTTATACTTTCTCTCACATTTTCTCTCACTCATCCTTCATTCAGATTATCGTGAACTGACATTTAATATCCTTGGGATGATTAGAAACGTGATTACAAGGAGGTAATGTGATAACATAGTGAGAAAATGAAGCACTGCTGTAATCACCACAGCAATCTACCAAAATAACCAGTAGCTCACAGTAATTGTTCCCATGGCTAATTAATTCATCATCACCACCAGTATTATTGGATTATAAATTTGATTTATTATCCATTTTAAGGAATAGTTCACCCACAAATCAAAATTATATCATCTCATCCTAACCCATGAATAAAACTACAAAAGCCCATATAAGTTCCTTTCCATTCATCAACACGTCATATTTAATACAGCATCCTTATGCCAAAAAGGTAATAAGCAACAAACAATTATATTTTTGGTCTTTCGCTTGAATGAATCTTTCCATTTTGAGGTCCATAAAAAAGTTTTAAACAACAGACATAAGAATGAGTAGAAAAAATCACAGAATAGTAATTTCCGAACTATTCCTTGAGGTCAATAAAAATGAAAACCAAATATTTTAAAGGTTACTTCACTGCTGGAAAAATGGGCTTTCAATAAATCAAGTCTGCCTATGAAGTAGAAAGGCTTAAACAGTTTTAAAAAAAAAATGGTGCTACCTGATTAGAGAAAACAAAGACAAAATGCTGTTGTCTTCCCATTTGCTAAATTGGTCGGAAAACTTCAGCACCCATAATGCACTGGGCATGTTGCCGTTCAAGGCCAATCCCACCAGTCTGCTATTGAAACGCTTAGCCAGAGTCTAAACCTAACCTTATCTCCCACCCTGCTTTAGTAGGAAACACCTCTTAGCAAATTTTTAGTCATAGCGGTGTCGACTTGTTTTGTTCCCGGTTGCAAGAACTCAAAGAGTAATTGTTTAGCGGGAGTGCATACCGGAAAGAAAGTTTGTGTTCCATTTTTACCATAGTGCTGTTTAAAGAGTAGACATAGTACAATACATCTTTCAGTGATGAACTCTTATAATAACTGTTTTGTTAAAGGTGCATTGTGCAACATTTCATGTTAAAAATACCCGTTTTTCGCGTGCTTGAAGAAGTAGTTCACTTTTGAAAAAGATTTTGCTGATAATTTACTCACCCCCATTTCATCCAAGATGTCCATGTCTCTCTTTCTTCAGTCGAAAAGAAATTAAGGTTTTTGATCAAAACAATCCAGGATTTTTCTCTATATAGTGAAATTCAATGGGAACCAAACGGTTTAAGATCCAAAAGAGCAAACTGTTCAAAGGGCTTTAAACGATTCAGGACAATGAATAAGGGTCTTATCAAGCAAAATGATCGCTCATTTAAAAAAAAAATAAAGTTTAAGTTTTATAAGCTCAAGTGGTCGCCTTGCTCTGTTCTGTGATGAGCGTTCGTGACTCTCCTGTTTGAACTCGTTTATCAAAATGAATGAATCTTTTTTCATGTCATTTGGTTGATTCAACGAACGAAATGAACAAATTGACTCTGAAAAAGATTCGTTCATTTTGATGAATGAGTTCGAACAGGAGAGTCACGAACGCATTACACAGAACAGTATTTTATTTATTAAATGAGCGATCGATTTGCTAGATAAGACCCTTATTCATCGTCTGGTGTCGTTTAAAGCCCTTTGAACAGTTTGCACTGAAACTGTCTTTTGGACCTTGAACCGTTTGGTTTCCATTGAAGTCCATTATATGGAGAAAAATCCTGGAATGTTATAATTAAAAACCTTCATTTCTTTTCGACTGAAGAAAGAAAGACATGGACATCTTGGATGACATGGGGGTGAGCAAATTATCAACAAAAGTTTTTTTAAAAGTGAACATGCAATAGTGAGGTCATGTCACAACAATACAGAATATTCCCATTTGGTATACTATGAACTATTTCACGATAACATATAGGTGATGTGTATTATATTGTGTGCAGTATGCAGAACACTATTATTTCTTGATTGTATCAAGGATTGCTCGGTGGGGTCAACATCACAGCTGTTCTATCCAACACACAAAATGAATCTATATGAACATGAAGCAGATTCTGCCCACACATCTCAATTCCCTTAACATCTGCTGCAGAAATGATTCTCAGCTTATGTCAAAAGTGTTTCATTAATTTTAATGAAACTCATTTGAACACCTTTTCATTAACTTTGATGAAGATGGAAATGATCTCTTTAATAGCTGTCCTCATATTGTCTCAGTAGTTGTGTTTTAGTAGCAGAGGACAGAATAAGGCTAAGCTTGTGAAAACGATCTATTTTGTGTTCCGGTAGCAAGGCCAGCATGTTTCATATCTTGTCAGTGTTATTCCCCTGGAAAAGATGACGATTGATTAGTTTAAGTTTGTTTCAAACATCTTCTAGCTGGATTTATTTTTGGCAGCGGAAAACAAAAGCATCATGAAAAGGACATTTCCCTGAAGGTTTGGCAACACAAATAATGCAAATTAAAAATAGTATTTTTTTTTTTTTACCTCTGGTTGGCATACCTGATTTTTTTGTTGTATTTATAGGTTCCAGCTCTGAATGTAATGAAAATAGCATTGAAAAACAACAGTGGTCTAGAGTGATGAATATATGGTGCTAAATGCAAATAAAGTTACATTGTTTTTAAAATAGTTGTATTTAGCATTGATACATCATGTGTTTGTTGCACTGCATCACACAGAAATGATCATTTGTGTTTTAAAGGAATGTCAAATTACTTGTATAACCATCTGTATTTTATTAAGACTGTGCACTTTTTTTTGCAGCAAAATGTTCCCAAAACAAATAAAAAAAATGGCCACACTCTCAGAAAAAAAGGTCCAAAAGCTGTCACTGGGGCTGTACCTTTTCAAAATGTAAGCTTTTGTACCTAAAGGGTGTATATCAGTACCTAAAATGTACATATTAGCACCTAAAATATACATATTAGCACCTAAATGTCCATATTAGCTTCTAAAATGTACATATTAGCAAATAAATGTCCATATTAGCACCTAAAATGTAAAAATTAGCTAATAAATGTCCATATTAGCACCTAAATGTACATATTAGCACTTAAAATGTACATATTAGTACCTAAAATGTACATATTAGCACCTAAAATGGACATATTAGCTCCTGAAATATACATATTAACACCAGAAATGTACATATTAACACCTAAAATGGACAAAAGTTTATCTTTTGAAAAGGTTAAGTCCTAGTCACAGCTTTTGTACCTTTTTTGCTGAGAGTGCATGATCAAATAAGAATTAAAAAATATCTTTCTAAGTGCAGTACTGAGTGAATTATCTTACAATTTGAACTTCAAATTGATCTTTTTTTATGTTCCTAGGATGTAAATCCATAAATTTACAACTGGTATATTAGAAAAATATACAACAAAATCGTACTGATTTAACATCTAAATGGGAGATTCTAGCATTTATTGCTGTGGAATGTATCTATTTAACGTTTTCTTTCATTTTCTTTTGGGATCTGTAACCCATAAAAAAAAGAGAATGTTTCAGAAGTAACAAATTTGAGTCATGTACATAATGTGATGCGTGTTGTGTAAAGATCTTTTTATATGTATTTGCAGATTTTCGAAATACATAAATACATGTTTACGCAGACATCAGAATATTCTAGTTTCTACGGCAAGTCCTTCTTTTATACCCAACAAATGTTTCATAGTTGTCTTTTAGACAGAGGAAATGAAGTCTGTGATATTCCACCGTCATTGAACACGGCATGCCAATTCCATTTGTGACAAGAAACCATTTTATATGGAGAAGCATGCCTGCCTTCAAAAGCACTTTGAATTGTATTTTGATGATTATACTTACATGTACAAATAATTGTAATCAAACAAAGAAGTGAATAAAGAAAAGAAAGTGTGCTTAAGGCAGTGTTTCTTCTTTCAATACACACTGAAGCAGCCTGAGTTTGTTTCTCGGTGTTCTCATTGAAAGTGTTTGTTGTGCTGCATCACGCAACCTTGGGTTTCAGGCTTGCTTCTACAAGTCTTTGAGATCTTCCATCGAATGGCAAGACTCATGTTCGATCACAAGTACAATGCTGCACCAGGTGAGCTATCAAGCTAGTTTTCTACATCAAAAAAGCTGATGCAAATGTGAGGTTTACAAAATGATGCACTGTGTTTTGAGGTCATTGCATAATATAGTGTGAAAAATTACGATTTTTTTGACCTTTCCCCGACACTAGTATTCATTTCAGCAGGAAATTGCAGTGAAAACTAATTTTCCTGTATAGTTTACCTTCAGTAAGTACATTTATGATTAGCTTGTAGCTCGTGTTTATGCAATAATTTCAGGACAATCTTCTAATTCATGTTGCATCGTGTGTCAATTTATAATGATTTTTTTTGTTTGTTTGTTTGTTTTTGCCATAAACAGTCACACTGAATTTTAGCATTACCATTTTCAAACCTGCCTTCTTGTACAGTACTTATGTGTACTTACAGTGTACTTACCTAGAAAGTACTGGCTAATATAAGGTAAGTACATGGGTTAGGGGTAGGTTCAGGGTTAGTACTTAGTTATTACCCAGTAATTGTAATTACTATAATAAGTACATGGACTGTAGAAGGAAGCGTTAGATACGCAGTGAACTGTGCAGCACAAACTGTTGAGATCAAACTCAAATAATGAGGGATCTTGTTAAAAATAAACTTCAGTGACTCATTTCTAATGCTGAGATCGTTCAAAAGGACACACACACACACACACACACAGCAAGACAGCAAAACTTTTCACCTGGTGTTTAATTAAGAATAATTTAGCATACCTGGTGCCAAACGAAAGTAGAAATTGTGACCATTTTTATCATCTACAATGATTTCAAATTTTAGGAAACTATATCACTTGTCAGACAATGTGGAGCTTTAAACATATAGTCACTTATTATTTATTATCACAAATATATGACAAAACATTAAAGGGAAATGAAGCAGTGAATCAAGTTTACATGATTTACAAGATGGATTTCCACTATAATCAACAATTATATAAGAAACATGACAAATGTAAACATATAGAAGAAAAAAAGGAAAAACTTCATATCTTTCGCCGCCATTGTGCAGTATTGTAACATGTGACGTCACGGGGTTGGTTGGGTTCAGTTTAACAGGCTCTGGGCAGTGAATATCCCGACATCAAACTGTGTTTTGACCGCGAACGACTAATGTTAGGTACAGTCATTAGACAAAAATACGACGTCTAAAGTTATATGTTGACAAACTGCACATAGAAACATTGTTCGCAATGTCTGCCGTCATATTCTCATATTCTCGTCACATCCCACACTCTTAGAAGAAAAAAGGTTCTATTTAGAACCTTAAAAGGTTCTATCAGTCTCAAAGGTTCTATATAGAACCTTCAAAGGTTCTACGTATTTGGAATGCCTAAAAGGTTCTAGACAGAATCCTTTTTAATGGTTCAAAAATAAGAACCCTTTAGGGTTCTTTGTAACCAGGAAAAAGGTTCTATATGGAACCTTTTAGGTTCATTCATTATCATTGGTTTGTCCTTTCCGGATTAAATATTTAATATTATTGAGAAACATTAAGACCCTAAAATGTATTTAGGAATGCATGTGAATGATCACAAAATTCAAAATATGGGGGTTAGAAAATGTATATATTTATATAATTTTATGTAATTAATCAATATCACATGAAGAGTGCCATTTCAGTTTTTCTCCTCCAAAAATCAGCATGATTAAAATGTAAAAATTAAGTTACTACTACAGTTTAATAAACAATAATTTAATTACAACAACAAAATGTTGCAGAATAATGTAATATATGAATGAATAATAGCCTTTTTGTGCCAAAAAGGGTTCTTTCTTGTCATTATAGAACCTTTTTTAGCATAAAAGTTGAGTAAAGAACCCTGTGCTTCATATATGAACCCTTTTTTTCTAAGAGTGCATGCTCAGGAAGCAGTGAACACTGTTTAGGGACCCTATCAGTCAGGATCTAAAACCTAAACCTTCCTAAAATGAAGGTGGTTTGTGGTTTATTATAGTTCAGGAAATATGAATTATTTTGAAATTACATGTGATGCCACTAATGGCTCATAAATTAC